TAAAATATACCTGAAAAAATCAAGGCATTCGGGCATCAATAACCCCTTCATTAAATCACATTAGTATTCAATTTGATACGTAAATATATTCATTTTCTTTATATGCAAATGTGATTTGAGAAAAGGATTATCGATTTGAGAATAATATTAGTATAATATATATTATGTGAATATTGTTTCCTATTTAGGATTCGTTTAGGTTTATTCTTGTTTCCTATTTAGGATTAGTTTAGGTTTATTCTTGTTTCCTATTTAGGATTAGGTCTAGAATTGCTATATATATATATATATATATCAGATGTAAACATTGTATTAAAACAATTGAATATACAATTTTATTCAGAAAACTAACATGGTATCAAAGCTTGGTTTGAAACCTAAAGAACTCGAAACCCTAGCAACCATCTCTGATTCTGATCTCTAGTCTCACGAAGTCAACCCATCTGAGTTGGTTACTTCGTTTGGTCGTTTCGTCTGGTTCGTCTAGTTATCGCAATTTGTCTGGATCTTTAGTGTTTGTTTCGCTGTCATTGAGTGTTCATCGAAGTCGTATTGTCACCAGAATTGCAATCCGACAACACGTTGACTCGTCTGGTTCATGCGAGGGATCTTTCTCTCTCTCATTTTGGTTCGTGAAGGTCTCTCTCTCTCTCTCTCTTGTACCTCTATCTGACCTTGTTCTTCTCGCTCGACTTGTGGTTCTCTCTCTCTCTTTGGCTGTGTTGATCAGAGTTCTTCATCATTGGTCTCTGGTTCTCTGTTTCGACTTGCTGGACTTTACTTCAACTTCTGGTTCTCTGGTTGGTTTCAATCCCTTAGTTTTCTGGTTATTATGATGTCTCTAACTCCGGATGAGTGTACCTTCTGCCATCAAAGAGGCCATTAGAAGTATCACTATCCCAAGACGGGATGTCTTTTTGGCTTGTATTCTCAGCAGTCTCAGACCCAGTTTTGCTATTCTTCTCCAAGTAATTTTCAGGTTTTCACCGGTTGTACTACATCTGCTCCAGTTCCTGATCCTGACTTGGCTTCCTTGAGTGCTCAGATTAGTCAACTTCAGCATACCATGTCTGCTTCCCAGCCATCTCTATTTGCCTCTATTGTTTCCTCTCTTCATTCAAGTTTGTTTGGGTCTTCTATAGGCATCTCTTCGTCTGTCTGGATTTTTGACTCTGGTGCCTCTCATCATATGACTCCCCATCTCTTCTTACTTCAAAATTGTACTCCCCCTCATTTTTCTATTACTGTTAATGCTGCTAATAGGTCTGCTATGTCTATCATATCTGTTGGGTTTGTCTTACTGTCTACTATATCTACTGTCTCTATTCCATTTTTCCTTTATGTTCCTTAGTTATCTGCCAGTTTATTATCTATCAGTCAGCTTGATGCCTCCGATTTTGATGTTATCTTTTCTTCTTCTATCTGTTCTATGCAGGATCGGATGTCCAAGCAGCAAATTGGGACTGGCCGTAGAGTTGGAGACCTCTATGTGATAGAGAGCTTGCATCTACCTATGACAACTTCTCCAATTGTTTTTTCCTCTTTTCAGTTAGATTCTGTGTCCACTCATTTCTACTTGTGGCATTCTAGATTAGGGCATTTGTTTGCTGACCGCTTACGGTCTTTAGCTCAGTCAGGTATATTGGGTAAAGTTTCTTCTAGTGAACTTACTGAATGTTGAGGGTGTAAACTTACCAAAATGACAGCCTTATCTTTTCGTAAAAGTACTTCTATATCTGATACACCGTTTTCTTTAGTTCATATTAATGTTTGGAGCTCTTCTATTATTCTCACCAAATGGGGTTCTACATACTATGTGTCATTTGTTGATAACTGCACCCGTTACACTTGGGTTTATCTTATGACTCATAAGTCCAATTTCTATTAGATATATTGTACCTTTCAGTCTATGATTACTACTCAGTTTGGGTCTACAATTAAAGTGTTATGGTATGACTTGGGTAGGAAATATTTTTAAAATGTGTTATGTGAGTATTTGGCTAATTTTGGTGCCATTCACCAAACTTCCTGTACAGATACACCTACCCAAAATGGTTGAGCCAAACATAAATATCGTCATCTCCTTGAGATAGCTAGGTCTCTTCTTCTCTCTGCCTCATTTTCGGCTCCATTCTGGAGGAGGAGACAACTCTTACTGCTGCTTTTCTTCTCAACCGCATACCTAATCCCATTCTTTCTGGTCGGTCTTCTTATGAGGCTTTGTTCTCCCAAATTCCTAACTACTCCCTCATTTATGTGTTTGGGTCTGCTTGTTTTGTCCTTCTTTCCCACAAAGATAGGACCAAACTTAGTGTCTGATCTATCCTCTGTGTCTTTTTGGGTTATAGTTCTACTCAGAAAGGCTATCGGTGTTACGACCCTATTTCCTGTCGTCTTTATGTCTCCTATCATGTTTCTTTTCTCGAACGTCTACCTTACTTTCAGCTTCCTCCTCTCACCGCCCCAGTTTCCAAAGAGGATTTGGTGCATATTGATCAATTTCCTTCTGAGGTCTCGTCTGATGAATACATCTCCACAGTTCGTCCCGAGCTTGTTCTATCTTCTCCTCCTGCTTCTCCTTCGGTTGCTTCTCCTCCTTCGTTTTCTTTTCTTCCTCTGTTGTTAGTTTATTCTCGTCGCAAGGCTCCTCCTCCACCTATTACCTCTGCCCCTACTACTGATCCTCCTACTTTAGACGACTCTGATCCTGCTGCACACCGATATCCTACTCGAGCACGTCATTCTCCAAACAGGTTGGGTTGGTCTAATACATGTTTTTTTGCTGCCTATCATACTTTTTTGTCTTCTATTCACTCTTTTTCAGAACCTCAGTCTTACAAGAAAGCTTGTCAAGATCCTCATTGGGTTCAAGCTATGGAGGATGAGTTGTCTGCTTTACAGAAAACTAGCACTTGGGAGTTGGTTTCTTTGTCTGTTAGTAAGAATCTGGTTGGTTACAAATGGGTTTACAAAATCAAGACTCATTCTGATGGTTTTTTTGAGCGCTACAAAGCTCGTCTGGTTGCCAAAGGTTTGTCACAGGAGTATGGTATTGATTATGAGGAGACATTTGCTCCTGTTGCCAAGATGACTACTATCCGTGCTTTGATCTCTGTCGCTGTTGTTCGTTCTTGGCTTCTTTATCAGATTGATGTTAAGAATGCTTTTCTTAATGGCCATCTCACTGAGGAGGTTTACATGCGCCCTCCCCTGGCTTTCACCATTCCTTTGGACAGGTTTGTCGCCTTCGACGTACTTTATATAGTCTGAAGCAATCTCCTCGTGATTAGTATGATCACTTTCAGACTACTGTTACTGAGCTTGGGTTTCATCCTTGTGCCCAAAACTCTGCTTTACTTTTTCTCCACACCTCTACGGATTTGTTGCGTTATTACTGTATGTGAATGATATGATCATCACTGGTTCTAACTCTTCTGCTATATCTGAGGTCAAGCAGCAACTTTGCCGCACCTTTGAAATGAATGATCTAGACCCATTGTGGTATTTTCTTGGTATTGAGGTAGCTTTTTTTCCCAAGGGCTACTTTCTGTCTCAGGCCAAGTATGCCAATGAGTTATTCATCGTACCGATCTTACTAACACTAAGATTTTTGATACCCCCATTGAGTTTAATGTAAAGCGCAACACTATTGATAGTTTATTCTGGATGATCTTACTCTATATCGAGAGCTCGTGAGTTGCTTAGTCTATCTAACAGTTACTCGTCCTGATCTTACCTATGTTGTTCATATGGTTAGCCAGTTTGTCTCTGCTTTTTGCGCCACACATTGGGCTGTCGTGGTTGAGATTCTTTGCTATCTCCAAGGTACCATATTTCAGGGTTTACTATTGTCCTATACTTCATCTTTGGATTTTGTAGCCTATGCTGATTCTGATTGGGCTGGTGATGTTACTGATCGCAAGTCCACATTTGGTTTATGTATGTTTCTTGGCAATTTCTTGATCTCTTGGAAAAGCAAGTACAAATTGTTGTTGCTCGCTCTACTGCTGAAGCTAAGTATCGTGCTATGACTCATGCTACTGTTTCGTTGTCTTCTCTCTGACTTGGGCATCCCTCAGTCTTCTCAACCTCCCTCTATTGTGACAACCGCAGTGTTATTCAAATTACACATAACATTGTCTTCCATGAGCAGGCCAAACACATTGAGATTGATTGTCATTTTGTTCGTCAGCATCTGCAGTCTGGCTTTATCTCACTTCCTTTCGTCTCTTCAGCTCTGCAGCTTGCTAACTTCTTTACCAAGACTCACACCACTGCTTGGCTTCAGTTTTTTCTTGGCAAACTCTCAGTGTTTTCTGCCCAAACACTTTGAGTTTGAGCAGGGGTATGAGAATAATATTAGTATAGTATATATTATGTGAATATTGTTTCTTATTTGGGATTGATTTAGGTTTATTTGTTTCCTATTTAGGATAGGTTTATTCTTATTTTCTATTTAGGATTAGGTCTAGAATTGCTATATATATCAAATGTATACATTGTATTAAAACAATTGAATATATAGTTTTATTCAGAAAACTAACAGTTTAATCAATTTGATTTTTTACAAGTATATTTTACTCGATATTATCTAAAAAATGAACAGTTTGTATCATCAAAATAAGACACTAAATGAGTCCCATAAGCCACGCAACAGTGACCCCAAGTCCATTTCTAGAATACATTTTTGTAATTATTTATTTGTTTAGTTTTAATAGTGATTTGTTAATTTTAGTAATCTAAATTAGAAGTGCCTTACCGCTTCAACTTAACCTAATACTTTACTTTTGGCCCCTCTAATATTGTAAGCCGGCTCCACCTGGTCATGGGGGGTTATACATATTTGGGGAATTACATTAGTGAGGCAGGTGGAAAAAAAATACAAATTCATGAAAAACTTCACAATTTTAATTATTAATATTTATAAGTTTTTTCACTGATTTACAATTATTATTTTTTAAATCCACTATTTTCCCAATATATTTCAATGATCTTTTGTCAGTGTACTTGAAAAGATGATTGTGACTGCTGCATTCCATTGAAATTAATAATTAAGAAGACAATCAATAAGATTAATGTCCTCCCATATAAACTGATACAAAATGCTGAAGATAATTGAGCCATTTGTAATTTTGTTTTTTCCTCTTTTTCTCCCTTTCTCTTTCTATTTGATTCACATTGTAACAAGTTAGATCGGTGGAAATGGACTAAGCCTAGCCACTGGAACACAAACCAGAGGATGGGCCCTTGGAAGGGTCAACCCAGGCCCCTCTTCCATGTCCACAGTACCATTCCCCCCATTACCAACCTTCCACTCAAAGCACTGAATCATAGCTGCAAGGCTTGTTTGAACAACCTGTAATGCTAGTGAAGTTCCAGGGCAGCCCCTTCTTCCACTCCCAAATGGCAACAAATGAAAATGCTGCCCCCTCACATCCAACTGGCTTTTCCCACTTCCTTCTTCACCAACAAACCTTTCTGGTTGAAACTCAAGTGGGTTTTCCCAATGGTTTGGGTCCCTGCCTATAGCCCACACATTGACAAAGAGCCGAGTCTTTGCCGGTATTTGGTAACCCATGATGGTGCAGTCTTCACTTGATTCTCTAACAATCATTGGGCCTGTTGGGTGTAGCCTAAGTGTTTCCTTGACAATGGCTTGGAGGTAAGGAAGGTTTGCAATGTCTGATTCCTCTACTAGTCTGCTCTTTCCAACAATAGCATCTATTTCATTTTTCGCTTTCTCCATAATGTTTGGATGGTTGATTAGTTCTGCTAGCGCCCATTCTGTTGTAATAGCAGACGTATCTGTTCCAGCAGCAAATATATCCTGCAAGTACTCCAATAGTTAATGGCAGTGCCCAACAATTAGTGTCTAAAACAAGTAAAATGTAACCCAAGGGTTGGCCTAGTGGGGTAGCTTGGAGTCTGGGTGTTTCTAGGTTTCAGATTCAACTCCTATTAGTGCTATTAATTTCTTGGGATCACGTCTGCGGGTTCTGTCTGAGATTTGTCTAATCTATATGGAGGGAGCGTTTTGCATGAATCTTAGGGTTAGTCAAAATGCGCATAAGTGGTCCGGACACCCGTTCAATTAAAAAAAAAAAAAAAAAAAGTAAAATGCTGCCCTACACTAGTTTGAATGGGGATTCAGGTGAAAAGCATTTTCAAAATGGGTGAAAATGTTAAAAGATTTTGTGAAATTAATGAAAAATGCTCTAAAAAATGTCACGTTTCTTCCCTTATTTATTTATTTATTTGTCAGAATCACTTACACTATAACATACAATAGTTTTAAGAACTAAGTTTTTTTTTTTTTGTCATTAAAAGTATAAAGTTTGTTTTAAAAAACAGTAATGCTAGATATCATGAAAAGTCTTTCATGAAAATGATCATCAAAGATTTGTGACATTTGGATTACACTTAAAATAAAGTACCACACACTAATCAAGGTAATCTAAGGGTCACAGATTTTTCATGATCATTTTCATGAAAAAATTTCTATGATCCCTAACATTTCTCTTTAAAAAAACATTTAGAGACTAATTTCAGTTGTCGCGAGAACAGTCGATAAAAGATTATCTCGAAAAGTCAAAAAAGAAGCTTTTAGGGCAAAATTTTGAAAATGTCATTAACAAATGCATTTTAGGGACAAAATAATTTAGTCCCAAAAAAATTTATTTTTTGAGACATTACTTTTGGTTCCAAAAGGTTAAAATTTATCACAAAATGTCCAATTTTGTTGCTAAAAATAAAATAATAACACTTTCGACAACAAAAATGTTTTATCCCTAATAACTAATCTTGTCCCTAAAAAGTCATTAACAAATGCATTTTAGGGACAAATTAATTTAGTCCCAAAAAAGTTTATTTTTTGAGACATTACTTTTGGTTCCAGAAGGTTAAAATTTATCACTAAATGTCCAATTTTGTTTCTAAAAATAAAATAATAACATTTTTGGCAACAAAAATATTTTATCCCTAATAACTAATTTTGTCCCTAAATTTTTGTTTCTAATACCTTAATTTCTTGTTTTCTTATAAGCAAGACCCATAATATAATTTTATTAACATTAACGATCTTAATAACTCCAAATTTTTCTTTCTGGGTCAAGTCCACTTAAGGGTGTAAAAATGGCTTGGCCTGGCCTACTTAAGCTCTGGCCTGAGCTCGGGCCGCCCCGTAGGTAGACCTATCGGGCTCTCACTAAAAATCAGGCCGAGCTGACCCACTCAGGCAAAATTGTGACCCAGGCCCAAACCCAAGCTCAGGGGTATTTAAGCCACTGAATCTGGGCTCCAGCTTAGGCCGGACCTGACCATATATTCATTTATTTTTATTTTTTTTCATGAAAATAATTTAAAAATGAGAGTGGATCTTGAGCTGGGCCTTAGAGTGGGCTCTAAGTGGACCAGTCGACCGAGTTCGGGACAGACTCATGGCCCGGACCTCAAACAGACGGTCCAAAGTCTCGAGTTGGGCCCAGGCAGCACCAAACTACAGGCAGGCTTCGAATGGGCCACATGCCGGTGAACCGATTTTACATCTGTAAGTCTAATATGATTGGCTAGGATCATGTGACAATCTAGTCAGCAACATGTTTCTTTAGCAATGATGCTCATTGACTTGTCCCACTTGCACCTTTTATTGATAAATGAAGGTGTACCAACTCTTTGATATTAATAATATTATTTTATTTTTATTTTTTTTGATAAAAAAAATTTATGTTTAAATTTATAGTTTTAAAATGAAAAGATTTGACAGTATTCATTTTAGGAGAACATCTCAAATTCAGATTTTATAATTTAGATATGAATTTCAAAATTGAATTTGAGAGTTGAGAAAGGCTACATATACCCATAAAATGGTATAGTGTGCTCTTTCATCACTATACGAAAATTCATGAACTACAAAATCAAATAATATGCTCATCATAAAATATATAATTTTTTACTAAAAAAAAGAAAAAAAAGAGTAGCACTGCAATATTCATAACATAAGCATAAAAGAGTCGAAACTAAGAGTTTTCCTAAGATGTACTCTTCGTAACCACACCACAAGGATTCATAGTTAACATCACAGAAATTTGTAAATTTTATCACAAAAATTTGTAACTTTCTTATGATAGAAGGGTGTGCATAGTAACATGTCCCTTAGGAAATTTAACATGATGAATCTAAAAAAAAACAATATAAAAGTAATTATTTGAAATCCTTCATGCCGAGGGTTCTAATTTTACTAGAATCGTGATAAATTTCTTTATTCTATCTGTAACTCATCTTTCCATTTAGTTTCTTAATCTATTTATAATAGTTTAAGTTCCTATATCTCAAAATTTTTAGTTAAAATTCATCAATCCAATCAGTCTTTAAGTCAAGAAAATTTCTACAACTACCAAATTGCTAAACAGAATTTAAAAGTCAATAGTGCAAAGCTCCCCTTTGTTTACAGGGTGTTGCTTGTATATCTCCCACAAAGTCAACAAACTAAAAAGCAAAAGACTTTTAGTATGATTTATATTTCATTTGGCACCTCAATGTTTTAGCTTAAGTTAAAAAATCACTAAAAAAATTTAAAAAGTCAATAATTTATACAAAAAAAAAATTAATATTCTATTTTTTCTGTATTTTTTGCATATCTTTTTATAAAAAATCAAAAAATTATTCCAAACATATTAATTTTTTTATCTCATATTTTAACCAAAAACTCAAAAAATTATTAAAATAGTATGTTCTCAAACAAGGCCTACGAATGGAATATGGAATGCCTGCTTAAGACTAATTTGTAAAGTATATTTGTAGATAAGGTTGTACTACTTTCAAGTCAACATTTTAATTTGAATGAATTTGAGGAGCTTATGGGATTTATTATGGGTTCCGTTTTGATAATTTGAACCGTTTATTTTATAAGACCTTTCGTATATATCATTCAAAAAAAAAAAAAAGTCAATTTGATAACTGTAACATTTTTATTTTATTGCGTTTTTCTTTAAAAAAAAATGAATGATTTATTTTCAAAATATTTGACTAAGTATTAGATGATTACTTAATTTGATGCTAGGAATAGTTTGGCTAATAGCATATGAACAAGAAACGGTGAAAATGAATCATTACCAAAATGAAGGCCTTGATGTTCTCTTTGCTCAATCTTATCTCTGAGTTCTCATCTTCTGAAATATCTAGCAAAATATGGAGTAAATCCTTCACAGTGTCATCTCCATCACAATTCTCTTTCTTCTTCTTCTTCCTCGAATCTTGATGCTCCTTTATAATCCTCTCCATCATCTCATCAAACCTGTCACGGACATCTTTGAGCCTCTTTCTAAACCCCTGCAGATCCAAATTCTTACAGAACCAAATAAAATCAGAGAGATTAAACTTCCCGGTAAGCTCAGCAGTCTCTTGAATCAGCTTCCGAACTTCACCAGCCTCATCTTCATCTTCAGAACATCTTTCACTCATAATCATTCTTGATATTACATTATTTGTCACCCTCACAAGCTCACCCCCGACATCAACAACCTCACCAGCTTTGGCCTTTCTCAGCAATAGCTCGATGAAACGCTTTATCTCATCATGTCTAACTGGAAGAAGCTGGTCTAGTGTTCGACCACCAAGTAGTTCAGACATGCATAGCTTTTTCATGAACTTCCAATAGGGTCCATAAGGCGCGAAAGAGAAATCTTGTGAGCCATAAGTTAGGTAATCAACGGCAGTCATCAGAGGCCGGTTTGAGAAAGAAGTTTCATGAGTCCTGAGTAACTCTTTGGCTGTTTCAGGTGAAGAAGCAACAAGGCAAGGGACAGAGCCAAGGAAGATGTGAATTAAGGGGCCATAGCGCGTTGAGAGCTTGTGAAGAGCTTGGTGAGGTATTGGAGCAAGAAGGTGAAGGTGACCGATGATTGGCAAGGCTAGGGGGCTTGGTGGAAGGTGAGACGTGGCTCGGTTTCTGAAGAAGGCTCGAAGTAAGATTATGGAAGTGAGCCAAATGAGGAAGAGGATGATGTAGCCTTGAAAATCACCCATGTTATTTGCATCAATGCAAATGATAGCACATTCTTGGTTCCATAGGGCTGTTTACATATAAGAAGCAACTTTGGTTTGTATTTTCCTTTTAGACTCCATAAAAAATTAAAAACTCTGTTCCTAGGAGAAAATCAAGAGACTGATTCATCATGATAGCAAAATCTAGACGGCTAATTGCCGGCGATGATGTGCCCTTCCAAATAAACAATGTGGGCGACATTTATTTTAATTATTCTTGTTGTATTTTTATGTTTGTAGATTATTGCTGAACTAGTCAATCATACTTTTTTATATTCTACTCTTAGTTTATAGTTTCTTGTCTCGACCAAAGAACAATTGGCTTGTTAATTGGTGTACCTAAAGAAGTGGTCAAAGCAGAACCTGGGATTCATCTTCATTAAAATTTGTATAAAATGGCCTATAAGTGAGGAGATGGAATCACCCCCCAAAGTAGAGTATTTTGCATATTATAAGCAATACAAAAAAGTTAAGAACCCAGAGTTAGGAACTCATATAATTTGTCCAGAATCAGTTTGCGTGGTGAAAATTAAATTTATGAAGTATCGGGTTCATAAATGCAGAGCCAGCCTTGACTTTTTCGGAGCCTAAGGCGAACTCAAAAAATGAGGGCCCAACTTTCATACATATTTAAAATTATATATATTGGTAAAACAGTAAAATCTTCAATTTATCTTTGTTTTTTGCTTGCACCTAAAATTTGTTGTATATATAAACACTATAAAATTACTATTTTTTTAAGTGAAAGTTTAAGTGAGAAATCTAATTTTAAATTATCGTATAAGTAAGTAAATCAATTATAATTTGATTTTCACAATAATTACAATGTTATAATTTCTGAGCAATTTCATATGATTTTTATAGTTGACATAAATCATAGTCATTGAGATTGTCGTAAATCATAATGATTAAGACAGATTTTGAACATTTTCAATTGTTAACATTATAAATTTATTCACACTTTTTCCTGACATAGTAGATTGAATTGTAAAATTTGATCAACTTCAACTTAACAAAAAATTATTACTCAATATGCAAACGTAACTGGTATAGTCAAACATATTCTCTAAATAATGTAGCATCTCAGGTCTTCAACCCGACTTATTTGTGCTAATTGGTACTCGTTATTTAACGTTTGTATTGTTTCCAGACTCATGGTAATTTGATATTGTAGACGCGCCCGCGTGAGGCCTTCATGCTACAGTTCAGACTCAATTTGTGTCACGGTCCTTAATCTGAACCAAAGAGTCCAAATCCGGCAAATTGTTTTGAGAAAATAGATTTTGAAAAAATAGATTTTGAAAAAGAAGTGTCAAACATGGACTGCTTTGCCAGATACAGAGTCGCCACCTAAATATTTTGTATGGGGGAATTTAGAAAACCCTGACTTGGTGCCAAAGGCCACGTGTCAGTCATCACCAAAGTTGCCTCGGCTCGGGAGCTTGGGTACGATTGGGGAAGGTCAGCTATGAGCACCCCCTTTCGCCCGATCCGAAGATCGGCCTCTACTAACCGTGATATCCGTTTTTGAAAACGTTATGTGTTCTTATTCCGGTTATTAGCCTAGAATTACTATGTTATGCGCACAGCAAACAAGTATAGACCAAATCGCCTAGGTTGGAACGAAACATTGCATATCCATTTGTTCGGAAAACAATTTGAAATTTGCTACTCGTAAGTAGGCTAAAAAAAACGGATTTCAATGAGTTGTTCCAACTCAAACAATCCAACCTTCACCCACAGGCATTCAAGCAGTAATATCATGTAAACATAGTAGCCTCATGGTAAGCATGCTGTCATGGCAACACTCACACGCATGCAAGGATGCTAAAACATAAATGCTCACCGAGTACTCCAAGCCAAAACAGAAACTAGTTAGTAATCATATGCATGATCCAAGTCCATGTTTAAATGCCTAATGCATCACATGCAAAATGCAACTAAGATAGGCTCGGCTAATCTACAATTACATGTGAGAATGCACAGGTAGCATGTATTCAAGTTAGATTTGAAATACTAATGTTGTTAGCATGATGCGCCGAGCCCGGTGCATGCAATACTGATGAATGATGCACGCATGCATAGCATAAGGTATGCTAAATTAAACATGACCTATTACTAACCATCAAAGCAGGTAAGTAAAAGGGAGAAAGAAATGGGGGTTGGAAGACATGCACACACTCACCCACACTTATTACAAATTCGCCCTCGCTCGGAGGGACCAAAAGAATAATACAAATTAACTAACTCTATGCCCTTCATGTTAGCTTGTTTGGCTTCCTTACATGCATGTTTTAGACTCATTTTGACATGTTTAGAACTGTTTTGGGTTGTCTCAACCATATGCTTCCTGTTTTGTATAGCTATAGTGCAAGTGCCCATGCTAGCTTTGAGTTTTAAGCACCATAGCATGCTTCATTTGCATCGTCTGTATGATTTGGCATCATTTCATGCATTTCGATGCATGATGGCCCAAAGAATCGAGTGTGCAACTTCAATTTCAAATGTAATGCAATGCAAATAAACAAGCAAAGGGGCTCAACCTCTATCATACTCAACTCAAGTTAATGCAATGCAATCCTAAACATGTGAGCTAGCATGCAACATAGGCAATGCAATGCGTACATGCAAGTATGCAAGCAAACATACAAGAGGAGGATGCAAACAAGCAAGGAGACAAACTTAAACTAAATTAGGCCACTCTCAAACAAGCCTAAATCAGCGGCCAAAGTGCTCAAACAAGAGGGCCAACACACATATACGCATGCGCATGTTAAGACCTAAACACTTAAGCATCAAAGGGTATCCTTTAAGCACACTTCAAGGGGAATAATCACGGACATATGGCATGCATTGGAAGCTTTAAAATCATGCTAAATATGATACCAAATCAATTAAACATGACAAACCAAGGCATGCAACCAAGCCCAACGCCTAAGGCTCACCAAAGAGGCATTGGACTACACTTATAAAGACCAAACATGGCATGATTTAAGTAACTAAAATCAGGGTTTTAGCATGTCAAAATGAACCCCAAAAACCACTTAGATGACATCTAAATGACTTACACATGGAAGCATGCACAAATCCACTTTCAAGGAGCATGGAACACAAACTCTTGAAACATCAAAGAGCCATGAAATGCAAGTATACAAGCATGCTAAGTGGATTGAAATGACATGGAAAATAGTCCCAACTCACTAAATCAAGGTAAGTAATGCATGTTATACACTCACATACTTGAAGCCTACAAGCTAAAATGCAAAGAGGCTATGCAATGCATGCCAAAGTCGACCCAAACAACTAAGGACAGACCTTAAGCATGGCAAAATAAACATGAAAGCTTCACAAAGCTAAACCTAAAGCATGCTAGAACAATGGTTTACAACCTAAGGCATGTTAAGGCAACAAAATGGCATTACAAGGCATGTATGCTAAGCAAGCATGGTGTACCAAAACCAACATACAACAATGCTATATTATGACATAATAAGCATAAAAAATAGCCAAGGCATGGTCAACATGAGCCTAAGCTAGGTGCTCCCTCAAGAGGCAAAAAGTGCCCTTTTCAAGGACAACAAGGAGAGGGGGTGGCCCTCTCCTTCTTAAGACCTCAAGGCACCATCCTCACCTCTGAAATCCCTCAAGATTTCAGTAGTGAGGAGGCCCAAACACTATGGTCCCGGAGCTCACACAAAATAGCACAAAACAAGGGCCAAACAAGGCTTAAGAGGGGTCAAACAACCCCAAAGCTTAAAACACTTTTAACAAACTATTTAGAGGCCTTAAAAACAGAACTTTTACGTATTATATGCAAAGCCAAAAAACAGTTGCAAGATAGGTAAAAGTAGCAGCTTCTTGAGGTTGAAATCAACTTCAAAACTCTAAAAACAACCCTCAAGGGCCTCAGCTCCAAGGAAAGGTGTGGTAGTGTGTGTTTGTGTACAAAACTAAGGCTTAAACACACACAATACAAGAGAATGAGAGATATAGTTATAGGATAGATATAAAACCCTAAACCTAGAACCAGAGCTCCTCTAACAATTTTTTCTAACCCTAATGCCAAGAGAGGAGACCTCTTCTTATAGGCAACTCCCTCTTGTAAGGCTTCCAAAACAAGCCATTCAAGAGGGAAATCCCTCCATACACGTATATGGAGGGGAACAGAGTGGGTGCCAGCTATCACAGCTGGCACAAAATATCTACTAAAAGTAGATGAACAGTGATCGGCCATCCAAAATTGCCACTTTGACAAAATAAATGGCCGATCAGCAACAAAGAATGCCGACTGGCAATATATATTGCCGATGGCATAAAATCACTGGCCGGTGGCCTCGAGCCATGGCCGGTGATGTGTTGGGATGCCTCACAAGGCATTTCCTGCCCCTTCAAGGCAAAACACAAGTGTTTGGTGCAAAACCAGACACAAAACAGTCGAGTTGAGAGGTCCTGAGGCAAGACGCGTAGCCGAGACCTCCGGGAACTCAAGACGAACACGAACATGGATGATCACCGAGTGTTCAAGTGGGGACGTCCAAGTCTTGAGGACGGTCAAAATGGGGTGTCTACAGATATGTCAGATATAAAATCCACCTGCAGGGTTTGTCATAATCAAAACTTATAAGCTTCTTCAAGGAGGTATTATCAATCCCTAAACCGGGACATGGATTCTGTCAATAATCAATATTCACCATACACATAAAGTGATCACCCAACTCACTGAGCTTATTAACCCAGAAAGAATCTCACTCTTTTATGAATCAAAATGATGAACACTAAATGCACTTGATTATTAATTATTTTCAGATTAAGAGCATAAATACTCATAATAACTAGGGGATGTAAATTGTCTCATCTAATCAATACATGAACAATTATCTGTGTCCAAATCCATCTTAGAATGTGAACCACTTATATTCTACAAGAACTAGTGATCTGATCTTTCGTGTGTAACCCGTATTCTACACACTAGATCACATACTTCGTAGAATAAAAGACACACCATTAGACAAATAACATGATGCAAATATTACTCATAATAATTCTCATTAAAACTAGAATAGCTGATATTATTAAAACCAAATACTAAATCCCAGTACACAAAAACAAGGCTTTCAAAATATTTTTCTAACAATTTTTACTTTTTGGGTAGTCGGGAGGACGACAATGTTTCGCCATTGTATAATCTCCGGGGTAGACGAGATCTTAATTACTTGTTTTCTATCACAATAATAGACGATGTGTTTCCGGGGGATCTTACAAAGTT